TCTTTACTGCCAATGAATATGTTTCTACCATTTGGTTTACACTTTAGGTTAACATTGAGATTCCTTGAAACAGAGTACCTGACCATTAAAATGCTCTACAAGACGTGATTGACTTAAAGACCTATGACTGCGAACTTATGGGGAAAAAGATAAGATAAAATATTTATTTAACTAATATTTTGTTCTACAATATTATAGGTTTAGACAAAAAGTCAAGCGTCAGAGTCTTATTCGGTCTCAAGTAAAGTAGCCGGAGACATGTGCTTCGTGACTTCGAAGGGTAGATTCAGAGTTTCAGTTATTTATTGATATTTTATTCTTGGTTCCGAAGTGGGAATATTAATCTTAGGGGACGTGAACGCATTTCCAGAGAGCGGATATTTGTTTACCTTCAAACCTTATATCCTATACATATAAAAATAATAACGCCATGAACATACGTTATCCAAGAAAATAAGCAAAATACTTCAATAACTCTAATTACCCTCGTACTACAGATTGCCTCGAACAAACTTCAGAATTGTTACTTCAGAAATATGACTTTTAGATTTCTCTCACTCAGACATAGATCTCTGAGTGAGAAGAATTTTGAACTCATATTTGTGCAGGGCAAGACAGAGTTGGCTGCTGAGTATCTAATAATGCTACAATATTTTTGCAATAAGCCGAACTTGTAGGCATGCACGTCGTGTGTCAACAGAGATTTCTAATCTCAAATATTCATGAAAACTCATGGTGTTCAAATCTACCTTGGACACATAACCATACGGCAGAATTTACCGCATAGTCCTCTTGGACAGGTAGATATGTTCATGGAGCATATGTAAGTAGCATGGATACTATGCTGCTTAATTCTAGCTTAGACAGATCGAAATCGTTAAACATACCAGCGGTAAGTTTCACGAGTCTGGTATGATACCGGGTTCATTAGGTATAAAAGCTCAAGACACAGATACAACAACAAGCAAATCTGAACTGCTTTACCTGCTTATTCTGTACAATCCACGTGCTTTCCCATTAACTTCAGAATGAGTACTTACTCTCGAGCTCGCTGCCTTGACTGCCCTTTTTGGCACAAGCTCGCAGCAGTCTTGTTTATGGTTGCCGTACTTACTCCAGCTCCTGCTGTCAGTGCCACTCCAATTAAAGGCAGAAATCATGTGTGTCCCACGGCCTTCTGGAATTTCGGAGACTCGCTGACGGACACCGGAGGCACGCTTGACGTCTTCGCTTTGTCCTTGGACCCCGAGCGCAGCCCCTATGGAGAATCGTTCTTCAAACGACCAGCTAAACGATTCTGCAACGGACGCGTTGTGCCTGACTACTTCTGTACGCTCACTCCCTGTTCACCGTCCCAAATACTCATATAGATCAGATCGACAGATTCAATCTTCCTGAAAGTTTTTTGGATTTATCATATGATGATATGGGTCGCCCATGTTCAGGCAAGCCTCTGATTTCAACACTGAGAGATCAGATCGCCAGAAATGTATCTAGATTATTTCAGCTTAGTGGCTAGCCCTTGGAAAAGTCCTTAATACGCTCGTAGGAATGGTTGGGCCAGGAAGGATGATTTTGAGATTACGGTGCCTTTCAAGTCATGCATGTCCAGGTTGTACACCGCGACGTACCATACTTGGTTAAGATCTTCCGATTCTAGGCGTTGCTAAAAATGGTAGAGCAGCAATGTCATTGGCGATGCTGGTGTGCTCCAGGCTGACATGTCGTTATTGTTGGTGTTACAGCTCTGGCGTTCAAGTACCCGCTGCTACAACCATATATCCAGGCAGGTGCCTTCGATTACAACTATGGAGCAAACTTCGCTTCTGGAGGAACAACTGCTTCCAACGACACTTCTAGGAACCCGATATATCTGCTAAATCAAGTTGCCGAATTCGTCAGATTCAAGCAGAGCGCAACTTCTCAGAAGAATCAATTTGGTACGTGCCATTGTCTCTTCTCTACTTTCTTCCTAACTTTGGAACAAGGACCGGAGCTAAGAATGAGAATGAATAGTTGCGATGAAACTTCTGCCGTACTTTTACCTCGCAATATACCTTACGGGCATTCCATTCCACTTCTTTCATCCGACCATATCTTAAACTGTCAATTGATCGAGCATGTGGGCTCCGCTTGACGGTCTCTGAGTTCCATCGACTGATACCTTCAAGGTGTTCTCTGATTGTATATCCAGCATGCCATCCGTTCAAACAGTTTCTGCCTCGCGATGACTCGTATGGCGAAGGATTGTACACCTTTGAAATTGGAGGAAATGACGTTCTTAACGCCATCTTACTCAAAAACCAGACTGCAGCGCAAGTTGTAACTCAAGTGATCCCTGACGCCATGATGAACATCCTCGCCACTATCAAGGTAAACATTTCATGAAATAATGAAGATTCTCATAAGGTATGACTTAGTGGTAACCGGATGAAGTACGTACAATCAAAATACTAAGTTATCCGAGAGGAACAACGAGCCAATGTAGAGTTGAAAATTATTTTAGTACAAGGTTCAGGATGTTAGAAGATCAAGATCTAAAATCCCTGGATCAATTATATTTTTCAATCTTCTTATTTGCCAACTTGAATGAAACATCTTCGTAACTGATTCACCCTGAGATTTAGAATTACCAGATATAAATGTTGTTCATGTGTACCTTTTGCCTTTTGATAGTTACAATTGATCAGCCAAGCGTCTTATTTCATCTCTTGTTGTCCAGATCTTAACATCAAATGGGGCAAAAAAATTTCTCTTCTTCAACACTCCTAATGCAGGCTGCAGCACCATAGCTATGACTGTTCTGGCATCCATTCCCGGGCTACAAAAGGATGATATGGGCTGTATTGTGTTTATCAATGAGCTCGATCAAGCCTACAACAAAGCTCTTAATGATACAATTGCATCTGCTCGACTTTTATATCCTGGTAGAACGTTCTCCATCTTCAACTACTACGCTGCCAACTTGGAGATTTTGACAAACCCATCCCTTTACGGTACATTCTGAACTCAATTCTTGCAGTACAACAATTTGGAGTTGATGCATGTTCCTTGAAACGTCTTCTTCGAATGCTTGGATAACTGAAGGTCTCACGTTCTCTCGACATCTTCTGCTGTTTGATGACAGGATTCAATCCAGCTTTGACCAAGCGTGCGTGCTGTGGAGCTCCTGGATTTGGAACCCTCAACTTCAACCCACTCGTTACTTGTGGTAATCCAGGGTCCAACAAGTGTGCCAACCCGGAAGAGTATGTGAATTGGGACGGTGTACATTTTACCGACGCGTTTTACAGGCAAATCGCCTCATGGGCCCTCTCTGGAAAATTTACTGATAACCCGGTCAACTACACCTCTCTCTGCAAATTAGATTTCCGGAACTTTGCAAAGTCTTCCACTTACAACTCTGTGTATCCTCAGAGTTGCAGGGTTACTTTCACGTGATTGACGCTGTCGGTTCTTTACATTTACATTCATGGATCTTACGCTCGAAAAATTAGATTTCAGAAGAGTTTATAAGGGAATTTCAGTCCCTTCCAGGACGTTACTTGAGATCAAGGAATGTTAGAAATATCTAGTTGCAAATGATCTTGATTATAACCACTAGCTATAGATTCAGATATTAATTAGATAGATATCCTTATGGAATATCATGATAAGAATTCAATGAAGTGGTTCGAAGTCTATGTTGAAAACTAGGAATGATAGGAGTTGAGGCTATGTTGCACATACATCACATCGATTTCTAAGTGCTCAAGCAGTGAAAGAATTGTAGAGTAATCTCTTAGAATTTTTGTGTCAATCGAACTTTGAGAAAACATTTTTTACTGTAATACTTTTAGCTTTATAAAATTTTCACTAAACATTGCAATTATTCACTTCCTTCTAATTGGTATTTGTAATCTTCTCATGGTTAATTGCCTAATCTTTGTCAAATTTTAAACGAAGGTTAATTTTTTACTCTTTGTATTAGTAAACAAAATTTGTGAATATTTTCTTCCTATTTTATGTCAGAATACTCCAAGCATTCTTTTACATCAAACTGATAATAAAAAACCATTAATGTACAAAATGTGTGTGTTTGTAAGAAGAATAATTGCTTTCATATATAAAAATTGAATGAAACACAAATCTGGAAATTTTTCTTCAATTAATTTTTAGTTTAGCACAATATATAACTTTAAAATTCATGAATATGACTTATATTGAAAAAATAATTGTTATTATCGTCTTTACAAAATTGAATATATGTTTTATTATAAGTTTCATTTCTTTTCATCATTTAAAACCTACAAATTAATGCTTAAAAAAACCTAATATATTTAGATTAAAACAAAACAAAAGTTATGAATTTTAAAACTATCAAGTGAAGTTGTTTATAAATCTTAACAACAAGACTTTACATTCCAATTTCAGAATCGAAGCTAAACAATCAAGTGCAATGTTGTGATTTCAACTGTCCATTTGTGGGAGCAAGTCTAGCCAGTTTGTCGACAAGATTGGCGGGTCTAAGCACTGAACAATGTCAAGACCAGTGGAAGGAACGATAATTGTCGGAGCCGGGACGTCAGGTCTTGCTGCCGCCGCATGCCTCAGAGAAAGAGGCGTTCCAATAACCTTGCTGGAGAAGTCCGGTTGCTTAGGCTCGATCTGGAAGGAGAGTACATATGATCGCTTGCATCTTCACACTCCAAAGGAGTTCTGTCAACTCCCGCCCATGCAGCTGCCTGCATAGTATCTGACGTATCCAAACAAGAAGCAGTTTTTGGATCATCTGCATGAATATGTGGAAGCGTTTTGATATAAAACCCATTAACAGTACACATGTGGACAGCGTACAATACGATGAAAATTCTAAGGTCTGGCGTGTTACCTCCCAAGGTTTCTCATCTAGCAATGAAATCGAGAAGGCCGAGTATACGGTCCGCTGGTTGATTGTCGCATCACGGGAGAATGCTGAGATTGTCATGCCCAAACTCCCAGGGATGAAAACTTATAGTAGGAGCATTCTGCATTCGAGAAATTATAAGTACGGTTCAGAGTACGTGGATAAGAGGGTGCTCGTAGTCGGTTGTGGAAACTCAGGGATGGAGATTGCACTAGACCTTGCCAACTTAAACGCCAAACCAAAAGTCGATTGTGGTCCGTGACTCAGTAAGGAACTCGCGTCCATTCCTCACCCCAACAACCATCAGACGTGCATGTGATTTCCGCCGCCAGAGAGCGCTGCAGAATGTATTGGATTTCGCTGGACTCACGGTTTTGTTTGTTCCTACATTCATACAAGGGAGGAGGTGCTGGTTGGGAAATGACTTTGGTTTTTGAGCTTGACAATCGAAGTGAAATGTGTGATACAGGTGCACGTTCTTCCATGGGACATTGTCGGAGCTTCAACCTTCGTGGTGGCTATGCGACTTTCGAAAGCCTTGCCTCTTTGGCTGACTGATTGGCTGCTTGTATTTGGCACGTGGCTGACATTGGGCAACCTGGCGAGATACGGACTAAAGAGGCCCATCGAAGGGAATCTGCAGCTCAAGCAGAAAACGGGGAAGACTCATGTTTTGGACGTGGGGACGGTCAATCAGATTAAGAATGGTCACATTAAGCTAGACAATGCATATGTGATTTCTGGTCTGGTCAAATAACTATCGTCCCTCGTTTGCATGGCAAAATTTTGAAGATGTGGTTACTCTGTACTCTGGTCTTTATACATCGATTGCATATAAATAATGACTTGCCGATGTTATGAATGTAGGTCGTTCCGAAGGTTGTAGCACTTATGACCTCTGGGGTCCGATTCAAGAATGGGGAGTTCGAATCATACGATGCAATAATCTTCGCAACAGGATATCGAAGCAATGTTCCGATGTGGCTAAAGGTGGCAAGCTGGTCCATACGTGAAGACTTTGTGAAAACTGTATCTAACTGTTGTAACGTGTTTTATTATACAGATATTTCTCTTAACCATCATGATTATTTTCCTAGTGCTTCAATGCGTGATGGATGGAAAGCAGAGAGGGTATTGTATGCCATCGGATTCACGAAGAAGGGACTTGTTGGAACTTTCACAGACGCCACGAATATCGCCGAAGACATCGGGAGAGCTTATGATCATGACATGTTGCAAACTGCTATTTAGGTTGAGGAATACAATGGATCATTGAAGATCTGGAAGGTCTAGGGTAACACTTGTCGAAGTCATAAACAGATGAAGATATTGGCCATGGACAACTTCATCACGGACACAATATTCATAACTATCGAACGTCGAGGCAGTGAGTAGTAATTAAATAAGCTACTGACCACTCGGAAAAACAGAGGAAGTGCAGCTCCTTCTCTTGAGCTTGACTTCGCGTACAGCACAATCACAAGGCAGTTGTTTGGGTTTCGCTTTGAATCCGCTCTTTCTCTTGTTCGTTCGCTCCCGAATTTTACGTGCAAACGGAATGATATGTTCCATCTCATATATATATCCAGCTGGAAAACGTTCGAAACCATCGAAAATTCAATAATGACTCATCGATATCGATCGCATTCAACGGAAGAACTCTCCAAGAACCCGTTCTCCCGTTCAGCTGTGCGGCACGAATTTGATTTATGACCCAAACGGGTGATATTTCTAATTTGGGCTTGGCGTGAAGGCCGAGGAAATCTGTGCTTTATAAATGCGAAACTCAGTAGCTGTCTTAATTGAAATATACAGTTTCTTCCATTCTATCCAGAGTGGCGGGTTCAATTCCTAAAAGAAGTCACGGATTTTAGTTTTTTAAGATAGCAGATCTACAAATGTTCCCTAGATACGGATGAGCGAAAAATGTAAATATGAAAGTAGCCATGTGAAGTATATACACAAAGGTTTTGGACAATCCCTTTGTACTAGGCCACTAAAACGTTACTTATAAAATCTACATGTTGGACATAGGTTCAATTTAGTCGGCTTCCACATACTATCGGTTATAAAAAGAATCCCTTGTAAAATCAACGATTACGATCTTGCAGAAATTATGTGTTATAATTATAATATTTAGAGATATAAAATTTGACATTTTTTATCGTTCATGAGTTCGTTGCAGACACTTTCCAAAACCCTTTTAGGAAACCGACAATTGGGAAGAAAATATAACTAAATCAGATTCTGCTCTCATTCTAATTTACTTCAAAATTATGCTCATTTCTGCAGTTTCCTTGTTGCTAGGACAGTGTTTAAAGGTTCAATGTGGAGATTATGGGAACTATTTGTGCTTTATTTCCAGAAAAATTTAATTGGCTGGATGGAAGCGTCAAGATAGTAACAAATTGAATTCATCCACATACACTTCACGAGGTGATTTGCTGTCACCAGTTAGATAGCCTAATCACAAGCTCACTTTTGGAAAATATGAATCTTTGCAGTGACAGGTTTGTCTCGTGAGCGGTTTCTCAGACTTCGTATGATATTAAAGTAATGTGAGGATGTGAGAACTTTTAAATTTTCATGCTTGTGAATTTTTGAGCCAGCAAGGACTTCGGAGTCCAGTTGAAAACTTAAGGAAAAATTTTCAGATTAGAAAGATGAGAAATGCAAGCCTTTTTCGAATAATATATGTCTTTTTAGAATCCTGTGTTCAGAGTTAAGTTCCATCTGCTTAGAACCTGCAACTAGATGTAAAACATGTATCGTCGATGCAAGAGGTCTCAAGTAATGCATGTCAGGAAGATGTCGAATTTTGTGCCTGCGTCAGAGTGTTATTTTCACTTCCTTGAGAGTTTAGTTTGTAAGTATATATCACATATTTTGTAAATTTCTTGTATTATGACTATAAAAAGTTCTGTTATTTTGCAGAATCTTTTAATTTATACTAGTCGTAGGCCTTTTGTTAGCTTGAATAAAATTTCAAATTTATGACATTTTAAGTGAGACCAAGTATTATAGCAAAATTTAAAGTTATTATATTACAGTATTAGAGTAAAATCTTGCATCTGTCATCATTATATCAATTTTGAACTATGATTTTGAGTATAGAGAAGTAAAATAAAAAAGAAGTAAAGTAAAGTAATTTTCACCAAACTAATTTCTAATTCCTTACTTAATTACATTTTATATTTAAAACATCTGAATTTCATAGAGTTATAAAATAATCTATTCAAGGTAGAGGTGATACAACATTGGTGGACAATGGACATATCTTTTTTACTAATGTTACATAATTTTTGATGCCATAACTTTTGAATCTCAATATAAGATCTAATTTCAAGCTTTTTAGCCAAAATTTCACTTTAAATCAGAAAAAATATTGTGAGTTGTATTCGACAATATAAGTTTCTGTGTAACCATAATCTGAGAAACATAATTAAGTTTGTTTCATTGATGATTATATATATCTAACATTTTAGGAAATATCATGTCTTTTCTCTACGTATATTTAATATTTTTCAATATGAACACAATTTAAATAAATGAATGAAAAATAAAAAATTACATTAGTCTAATTCAAAGAGAGCATCCTGTTCGTGTTATAAGTAATTACATTCATCAAACATTTGATATTCATCTATTTATTATTTTGTGTTGCATTATTGTGTTATATATACGTTGAAAATTTTGATATTTTGATATTGATAAAATTTTGATATTATGAAAATAATTCTTGAATTGAAAAGCCTATAAAGCTGTGGTAACACACTTTTTGTTTTTTTTGCAGAATTTAAACAATTTTAGAAAACTAGTACCGAAGCAGTGTTTGTAGTTAGAAAAGGGTACGTTAAATAGAGTGGATTGATGAGATTGTCACGAGGTCACGAAGAATCGCGTAGTCGGATGTACCAACGCCAATGTCTTCGGCGCCTTCGGCAAAAGCTACTTTTCTGAGGTGTCTCTACTCACGCGCTTCCAGCGTTTAAGGAAGCTACGCTTCCGGCGCAGACACCTCAGGAGGAGGTTTTGCTAAAGACGTCAGAAGAACGGCTCGGACCTCTGAAGGCTTCCGACCATGAGTGCGCCTTCGGCGATGCGCCGCTAGCGCGGGAAGGGAAAACCTTCATAACGATCGGAATACACGGTAGCACCAGTTGGTTGAAGTTGCATTAGAAAGAGCTCGGGACGCTCGTTCTAACGAGCCCAAGAGTGTTGGAGATGGATCAGGGACGAAGAAGTTATGAGCGTCGGAAAACTCGTAGCCGGACATGCGCCGTTCGCGCTAGGGTTCACAGCCGGAAAGGACTCCCGTACGCCCTCGGCGATGCGCCTTCGGCAGAATCACACGCTCATGGGAGGAAACCAACTCAGAGTCGGAAGCGCCTTTGGCGGCTGCTCATGGAAGGAAAGCAACTCAGAGTCGGAAGCGCCTTTGGCGGCTGCGCAACGGAAGAAACGCGCCGGTCGGATGTACGCCTGTGGTAACCCACTTTTTGTTTTTCGTCGGAATTAGAACATTTTTGATTAGTAAGTACCGTGGTAGCAGCTGTAAATAGTAATCGGTACGCAAAGCCAGAGTAAAAAGAGGATCGAGGACAGTCAAGGGGTTTTGGGCTTAGGCCACAGTGGAACACTTGGAATGGAACGGGCGGTTCACGCTGCAGGACTCGCTTCGAGCACCTTCGGCGGTAGATCACTCATAACTTCCTCAATTCTTAACGCCTTGAGTTACTTAGGGTTTTGTTGGAAAGAACTCGACGCGCTCGTTCTAACGAGCCCAAGAAAGCCTGGAACGGATGAGGACTCAGGGAGTTGTGACTGTCGGAAGATGCGAAGGACAACGCCTACGGATAGGCGGAAGGAGTTCGTCATCAGCAGAATATCCACCTTCGGCCCTAGATGTTCGCCTTCGGCGACGGACGTCTTCGGGTCAACTTCAAGTCGGCAAACTCGAGGTCGGAGAACTCGAGGTCGGAAAACTTGAGGTCGGCGAACTCGAGGTCGGAGAACTTGAGATCGGCGAACTCGAGGTCAAAGAACTTCAAGTCAGCAAACTCGAGGTCGGAAAACTTGAGGTCGGCGAACTCGAGGTCGGAGAACTTGAGATCGGCGAACTCGAGGTCAAAGAACTTCAAGTCAGCAAACTCGAGGTCGGAAAACTTGAGGTCGGCGAACTCGAGGTCGGAGAACTTGAGATCGGCGAACTTGAGGTCAAAGAACTTCAAGTCAGCAAACTCGAGGTCGGAAAACTTGAGGTCGGCGAACTCGAGGTCAAAGAACTTCAAGTCAGCAAACTCGAGGTCGGAAAACTTGAGGTCGGCGAACTCGAGGTCAAAGAACTTCAAGTCAGCAAACTCGAGGTCGGCAAACTTGAGGTCGGCGAACTCGAGGTCAAAGAACTTCAAGTCGGAGAACTCGAGGTCGGAGAACTTGAGGTCGGCGAACTCGAGGTCGGCGAACTTCAAGTCGGAAAACTTGAGGTCAGAGAACTCGGAGTCGGCGAAACATCGTGCGGGCGCCTTCGGCGATAACAGATAACAAGCCTTCGACAGTGTGCCTTCGGCGAAGGATAAAACTGGCATAACTCTTTCAACTCGTAACGGTTTGACTCAGTTAGGGTCTCGTTAGAAAGAGCTTGACGCGCTCGTTCCAACGAGCCCAAGAACTCTTGAAACAGATCAAGGATCTGTGAGTTATGGGTGTCGGAAGTGACTGTTACAAATAGGCAAAGGTGCGGAAGTGCGTCTTCGGCGGTCAACGCCTTCGGAGAACTCGGAGTCGGCGAACTTGAGGTCGGCGAACTCGAGGTCGGCGAACTTCAAGTCGGCAAACTCGGAGTCGGAAAACCGGATGCGGTTCAGAGATCTTGCGGAGTCCATATCTCTGCGATGGACGGTCGGATGGATCTGAAATTTGGTGGGGCCGTTGATCTCAGTCGGCCACGCATGCCTGCAAATATTCAGCCTCAGATCTCGGATGTAAAGACGCTGGCGGCTCTGTACAGTAGGCTTAGGATTTAGATTTAGGGTTAGGGTTAGATTTAGGTTGTAAGTTAGAGGGGAAGGTAGCCGCCGACTTCTCAGGTGTAGGATCTGTTGCGGCTCGCACCCTAGCGGGTAGTGTAGTGTTAGTTAGGACCTTAGAAGGTATAAAGTAGTTCAAGGCGTTTTGCCTTTTGACTCTTCCAGTTTCGGAAGTGCAGATCAGGAACTCACTTTCTTGGCGTGTTTGTGCATTTTGGTCCTGGCACCACGTAGAGAAGCTGCAGCATAGCGAAGTTACCGTAT